AGCTGCTCCAGACCAACAGGAAAATCACACGTGACTCCGACAAACAGGGAAGGCAGGAAATTAGAAGTTCTTGGGAGAAAAAATTACTCCCTTATTTCCTTCCTTTTGTGAGTAACAAACTATCAGATGGTGTTAAGAGCCTACCAAAAACAGCTCTGGCTTCAAATTTTGCCTGGATTTAAAATGATTCCTGAAGATGTCAGACAGGGATTCTTGAACACCTATAAGGAAGCCCAAACAGTTTTGAAACATCAAAAGCTGTCTACCAGACACGCTGCTAAAGCTGCATCCAGGGTGCTTATGTCGGCTGTCACTCTGTGTAGACACACATGGTTGAGAGCAGCCAACATTATGGAGGATGTTAAGACAAGAGTGGAAAATTTGCCCTTTGATGCCAAGGGGCTTTTTAACAAAAAGACCGATGGCAACCTAGAGGAGCTGCACGAGATGAAGAAAACAGCCAAGTTTTATTCCATCCAGCCTCAGACTAAGTTCAACAGATACCAGTGGCGCAAACCATACAACCAGTACTCTCAACCTGCTCAACAGTACAAACCCTTCAAGAACTTACCTCAGCATAGGTCTTCACAAGCCTCTTCTTCAGCTTCCAATTATCATCCTCAATTCTCTCAATGTAGGCAGTCCTACAAGCCTCCTACCAAAAAATCCAAACAGTACCTTTGACTCAATCACCAGACCATTCGGAAAGCATTTCACGACAAGGCTACAACCCTATCTTCCAAATTGGACAAATATCAAATATCACAAAAGACTTACGGGTCTTAAAAATTATTCAGTTTGGTTACCAGCTGGAATTTACAGAATATCCTCCTCTAGGACAGGTAAAACATACATCATTCGATCCTGCTCTAGAAGAAGTTGTTCTGTCTCTTCTAAGAAAAATGTTATTCAAAAAATCCCCACAGAAGACATCAGGAACGTGTTTTACTCCCGATACTTCGCTGTCCCAAAGAAAGGAGGAGGAATCAGACCCATTCTGGACCTAAGGACACTAAACACTTCCCTCCATCCAAGACGCTTCCGATTGGTGACTTTGGACTCCATAATCCACCTATTGAAGAAAAACAGCTGGTTTGTCGTGATAGACCTAAAAGATGCATACTTTCACGTGACTATACATCCCAAACACCGAAGATACATGTGATTCATATTTCAAGGAAAGATTTACCAGTTTCTGTACCTCCCATTCGGGCTTTTGACAGCGCCAAGGACATTTACCAAGTGCATGGCACCTGTAGCTGCTTACTTACATCAACAGAGAATTCAAGTCTATTCCTACATAGACGACTGGTTGGTAGTGTCTCCGTCAAGGCAACGGGCTCTGAAGGACACAAAATTCATACTTCATGTCCTCAAAAACCCTGGTCTGTCGATCAACCTGAAAAAATCCCACCTCACTCCATCACAAGTAGTGGACTACATTAGAGCTTGGTTAGACACCACCAAGGGTTGGATTTTCTTGCCCAAGGAAAGGTTAACAAAGATACAGAAGGCCATATGAAAATTCCGACCAGGGTCGTCAGTCTCTGCAAAACATGCTCAGCACCTGTTGGGTCTCATGGCGTCTACAACCCCAGCGCTGGTGCATGCCTGCCTGAAAATGAGGTCTCTCCAGTACTGGTTCTTGACCCTATTCGATCCCATGAGAGATCATCAGAGAAAGCGTATTCATGTAACAAAAGAATTGGCTCAGCAGCTCCAGTGGTGGAACTTCTGCCCTCATTTACTAGTGGGGCGTCCCTTCCAACCTCTTCAACTCACAGTACAAGTGACAACAGATGCAAGTCCAACAGGTTGGGGAGCTCATTGCGGACAGCATCGAGTACACGCCCTATGGTCTCCTCAAGAACAAGATCTCCACATCAATCATCTCGAGATCATAGCAGTCCTGAAAGCATTCAAGGCCTTTCTCCCACTGATACAAGGTTGTGGTGTACAAGTAGTCACAGACAACATCACAACCATGTATTACATCAACAAGCAGGGAGGGACTCGCTCTGGATCACTCCTGTTTCTGACTGTGCATCTATGGGAATGGTGCTATGAGCGCCACATCTTCCCAGTGGCGATACACATCTCCACAGCAGACAATGCACTGGCAGACAAGTTGAGCCAGATGACAAGCCAAACCTCTGATTTCAATATTGCCCATCTGATGATGTCCATGTATAGAGTCGCCTCTTGTGTTGTTGGAAAAGAGTGTTTGTGAGTAAGCATTGGCAAACATATTTTGGTATGGCCTATCAGCCACCTACAAAATCCATCTAACAGTAGCATCTTTTAGCCAGCTTGGCTGCAAGAATAATTAAGGGACTTTGTGAAACCTGAGCTGGAGTAAAGAGTTGCCTTGTTGAATCAATGGGGATTGGATATGTCAAATCCTCTGTATGCTCCATTGATTCAGTGGGCTTATTCTAGTGCCATACTACTGAATTTCAACAATTACATCTACAACATTCCTCTTATCTGCCAAGCTTGTGGCTCGATTAAGGAAAAAATAAGTAATCAGTCTTCCATGACTTAGTTTGAAACCCAGCTGGATTATAGAAATCACAGTGTTCTTCTGAGTGCTCACAGACCAACTGTTTATTGATATTTTGGAAGCTTTTCTGGTATTGATGTCAAGCTGACCAGACTAGATTTTTCTTTTTTGAAGATTGTGATGAAATTTGCTTATCTTATTTTTAGGGCCCTCACCTGTTTTCCAATAATACTCGAGTATTATAGACTAAGGTTCTGAGATTATATCTGAAATTTCTTTTTTTTTACCCTTTGGTGCAATTTATTTAGCTCTGGGGACTTTGGAATAATGTAAAGTAGCTAGATGTTCCTGTATCACTTCTTTGCCTGTCTTGAGCAACAGCCCCCTCCATTTTGCTTTTATTCATCTTCAATTTCTTATACATGCCCCTTTTAAATCTTAACTCATCTGAAAGTTCTTTATGCAACTATCCTGGTTTCTTTAGGTGTCTCCCACTTATCTCATAGGAATTCTTGGTTATTAGGTCTTTTTAGTATTTAAACTCTTAAGAAACTCCTAGCTACCATGTGCTCTCTTCTCTTTGAATATTTCTGACCACAGAAGATGAAAAAAAATATTTCATTAAGCTTTCTGAAATCTGCTTTCCTAAACTCTGTAGTGCTCATTATATAGTACTGTTCTTTTCACTGTATAACAAATTCCAGGTGGCTATGGCCACTTCCACCCACAGTTACCACAATTTCTACTTTGTCAACCAGTTCTTTCCAATCAGTCAGCACCAGATCCAGGGCAGTTGATCCTCTTGCTGCTTCTTCCACTTTCTGAATTATGAACTTGTAAAGCAAAGCAAGTCAGGAATTTATTGGACTTCACAGTCTTGGGAGAGTTAGACTTCCAACAAAGACCAAGGTAGTTGAAGTGTCATAGTATTACTCTGTCTCTCCTCTTTGAATATCAGGTAATCTAACAGGACAGCATTATTGAGATCCTCAGTCTGGTTGGGAGGCCAGCAACAGCACAGAGAGAGAGAGAGAGAAATGTCACTATTGTTTGTCTCTTGTTTGACTTGCAACCAGCCATGGACACTGACTTAACATCAGTCAAGCAAGGGTTGAGGACAGTTTCCTCCATCACTAGATAATACTATCAATTTGGTTGTAATCAGCTTACCAATTGGGTAAACTAAACATTATCCTAAATTCTCCATCAAAAGGTTTGACACAATACTGTGTCATCCTAAACTCCAGCTGAAAAAAAATGTTTCAGATTAAGGTAATGGTGATAGTGGGGATGCTGACTGACTGGCAGCCTTCTGTCTGACAAGTCTGGCACAATTCAGTCAACATTGCCAGAGGCAGAATTTAAAACCAGCACTGCTGGCTTGACTTTGTAGCCCTCCTTTTGAAACCTGGCATACACATCAAGCCATGATTTTGGAACTCTTGTATTTTTTCTATCATCCATAGACAGGTGATGCCCACCCTGATGAAAGTTTATATGGGCCAAAAGCTAGCATTTCTTTGTGATTTTTTAATTATCTGGTCAAGGTATAGTCTAGTCTAGCCTTTAGAACAATTCTTTACGCACTACCTTATAAGGTCTGTTATGTCAATTATACATTCCTGATTTGGCCTATATTTCATATTGCATTTATGGACATGGCAAAAAAAAAAGGTTAAGAACGGCTACCTTAGCCTATATAATGTTATCGATGATTCTCTAGCATCTCTTAACAGAAATTTTTGATTCCCTCCTCTGTTTACAGGACACTCAAGACAGACAACTCTCTCTCCCTGTTAACTGCTTCTCATCTTGATCCCATCCTATCCAGTTCTAGCAGCTAAAATGTAATCTGATTAGTACCAACAGTGGCATTCTCTACTAGTCCAACATTCAAGCCAATGTGCACATTGCATACAATGTACACATAAGTCAGTCAGTTCTAGAGTATGGGTGGTTCCATCACTCCATGCTTCTGCCAAGCAGGTTGATTAAGAAATTACATTCCAATTAGTATCACAGGACATACTGTGGAGCAGTGAGAGTGTGAAATGCCTGTGTGAAACGGCATTGTTCCAATACAGCCCAACTACATACAGAGAAGGATGGAGACTTATAGATGTCCGTCACTTCTCCTGCAGCTATTAGGCATGCATGCAGCAGGACACACACTATATCAGAATGCTACTTGCGTATAAGAGCTGGGAGCTAGTAACTGGTTTAAAATATCTATTATATACAATGTTATGGAAATTTGATCATGTCTATCGTGTTTGTATGGAAATTTTAGTAATTAGTAGAATTAAGACAACAGCATAAATTTATTACTTTTAATCTTCAACCTTCATATATGTACTTCTAGTGTATTGTAATCATGCAAAATGCAGTAGGCTCATTCCAAAATAAAAATGTCATATCTAAAGTACTGAATATACACACTGGTTCAAAAGAGTAAGGGGAATGCTGCAAAAAAAAAAAGAATACTTGCTGAATTGTCCATAGTTAACAAAACTATTTATTAACATTTTTAACATATCAACACTAGTTTGCAAACTATTAAAATTCATCTAGTATTGAACTGCAGGTGGATTGTAGTTATTGTCTAATTTCATCAGGTACTACAGGGCATAGGAAAGGACACAAAAAAGGCAACTGACTGGATCAAAGGGATGGACAAGAAAGATCACAGTTAATTTTAGTATCTGCTTTAATATAGACTTCCCAAACAAGATGGAAGCAGATTTCTCTGTGTTGTAGCCACTTCAGGAAGAACTGGTCTAAATTGTTACATTTTTTACCTATACCCCATCCTCAGAGGAGCAAAAGAAGGCTATCCATTGTAGAGTGCACATCCTGCACAGAACAAAGAGGAAAGTTCTGAATGAAGAATTATTTGAAAGTAAAGTCAGAGACAGCTTTTGCAGTAGCTCTACATGCAACACTACAGTTTCAACACTACATTTGCTGTGATGATATTTCACAATTCATTTATCACTGTACAATGGTGCAATTGTATCTCTGTCCATTTCATTTTTCACAAACATACGTAGAACAAGTTGGCATTTTTAACTCCAGTTACTGGATTTCAGAAAGCTGTTCAGATTGATCTGGCTTGCCTGAAAGCTTCTCCTTGGTCAAGCTTTGCTCAGTTTAGCAAAAGCTAACTTGAGTTAGCTAATGCTTATGATATGAAGCAGCTTTTCTGCAAATTAGGAAACCAAGCCTCACTGGGCCAAGCTATCTCCAGGCTGAAAGCCAGTCTTACACTACTGAGTCCTTGGGCTCAGATTAATCTTCCTGATGTACAGGCTCCAGACAGTTTTCAATTTTCTGCTCATCTGCTAGATCCTCTGTAGGCAAGTTCCTTGTTTCTGCAATGAGTCTTTTGACTCCCACCATCCACTGGCTTACTTCAGTGATATGGTCCACCATTAGTGAGCGATGGATCTCATCAGCTGCATCCCAGTGCTTATTCTTGAGTTCTAAAGGAAAAAGAGAACAACTCAGAATGTTTCACAGTGAGAAATGATTTTTAATCACTTGGTTTTCCTCCAGGAGGCAATTTGCTGCCAAAGAAAATGCTCAGCTATGCAATGGGCTTGTACTAATTCTAGTACAGCAGTGTTTCTGCTGCATGAATTATGTTAAGTGGGCAGATGATGGAGCCTCAAGTTCATTGTGGGGGATGTTGTAACCAGGGCTCATATTCTTGGCTTACTGCTCACCTTGTGTCAGAATCTGCATCCTCTTTCTCACAGGAGCAGAGAGTTTGCCTTGTGTCCACATTTGCTGCAGAATGACCAAGCGCTTGCTGATATCATCACAAACCTGTTTCTGAAAACAGAAGCATAATTTGTATTAGGAAGCTGGAGCTATTTCTAACTTCTGAACACATGCCCCCCCCCCAATTTTACTCTTCTCTTAAACACCTCCTGCAGTTCAATTCAGATATGTCAGATGTCTAGAATTATAACAGTATCCATAAACTTAGCTTGTCCATCCAGACAGCAGGCTGAGCCACAGTTTAGAATCTCATGCTACATGCCTCTGTTTAAATCTGGCTGAACAATTTGGTAAGCACATTTGGAATGCTAAGGGCACCATCAGAAAAATAGTTGCCAAAAGGCTGTAAACAAAATATGGTGAGCTGCAAAAAACCACACTTCATGGGTAAGCTGGTAAGGTTAGAGAAAATTAATGGATGTGCTCTTTGATAGAAAAAAGATTCCTGAATGGCCCCACAAGATCTCTCCTGTGCTAAGAAATCCAAGAACAAAACTTGCCTTACTTCAGTCCTCTCCAACCTGATGCCCTTCTGATGTGCCAGAATGCATAGCTGGTTGGTGGACCACAAGGCTTTGTAGTCCAACATCGGAAGGACTGTTGGTTGGAGGCAGTGCATTCAGTGCAATGTAGCAGGCCTAAATTGCTGCCACTGAGACTCAAGAACTTTATTCATTCTAAAAATACAGGGCAGTCCTGAAAGAGACCTGCAGTTCCTCTCACCTGCACAGATTTCCTGCAGTGGTCCAAAGCCTCACTCAAGGGGGAAAGAACATCTTCGACACTACAGTCCACTTCTGCCTCAGAGATGGGTGGTTTTGTGGCATTTGTCCCCAAAAAAGGGGCTGGAAGGCCAGGTGGAGGAGGCAGATCTACAGTGTGTGGTGGGAAGGCTGGAAGCTGAACTGAGAAGGGAGACATAAGACAACATCAGGAGGGAAAAGCATAGTTCAGTTTACATCCACAATTAATGGCCAATACAAAATTCAAACCTGGGCCCGAAAAAAAGAAAGACACCCCTTCATTTGCCTTGCCAGATGCCAAACTGTTATTCACATCATTCCTAGGGAGCAAAACTAATGGTTTGGTTGTGAGTTGTGGCCCCAAAACATCTGGTGGGCCATACATTCCATCTTCTCTCAGTCGCTGAGGTCCGGGCTGCTCATTTCCCACTCTTAGAAAGGGCACGTACACAAAGAACAAAAATGTCCCTTCCGAACAAACAACTTCCAAACTGTAACTCAGCACATCTCCCCCCCCTCCCCGCGCGCGCAACAATGTTGGTTTTGTTGCCTACAGACTATACCTTAAAACCAACCTGGTTTTATTTGGTATAGATAATGCCCATGAAAAACCGACAGTCAAATAAGACTGATCGGTCTTTTAAATGCTGAAAGACTCTTGGGTGGTTTTGTTACAGAGAGATCCTGTGGTGGGTGAGGCTCTGCGATTGTTAATGACTAGAAAAGAATGGTTAGACAGGCCCTTGCATTAGGAAGTCATCTAGAAGAGCGTGTTCAGAAAGTTCAGAGAAAGCCATAGTCATTCATCACGGAAAAAAAACACCAGGACTCTGTTCAGGAAGCCGCGAGGAGGAATTTTGTCTGCTGGCCGCAATTCGGTCCTCCAAAGTGTTGAAGCCAAGCTACGATGCCCACTCTGGGACCGGAAAAGAAATGTCCGGGGAGGCGGGGGAGGGAAGGGCAACCGCAGGCAAAGAACCGCGGCTACGGGAAGATGCCAGCGCCCCTATCCCGGGCGCCCGGTCTTCCAGCGACTGAAAGCGTCGGAAGAGAGCGACTCCCCTACCTGGCGGAGGGGGTTGCGAGGAGGGTGGAGGAGGTGTTGCCGGGTCATCTCCGGGGGCGGCGGCGGCGGCGACACGTCGCGCGAGGGGCCCCCGCTTGGCCGCCCCGTCCCGCGGGGTCTGGCACTGCTGCAGCCCATAGGAGAACTGAGGGGGGTCGTTCCAGCCACGCTGCCGGTTCCCTGGAAGAGAAACAAAAGCCCCTCGCCTGTCATTAGGCGCCAAATCTTCAGGGATTCGGGCCCGTCTCCGCCCCCTATCTCCGTCCCTGCCGAGGAGACCCCATCCCCACCCCCTCAGCTGCCCCTTACCCGGCTTGATATAGAGCTCCGCCATAGCCGCGTCACTTCCTTCCCTGCCCCGAATGGACTCGCCACCCGGCGAGCGGACGCGAGGACGCCTCCCAGCCGCCCCGGCCCGCCCCGCTCCGACCGGTGTGACGTGGCGGGCCGGGCCGCCCTGCCTTTTGAGTCTTCGGTCGGGTTTACGCCTGGCTGCCCGAACGCGTCGCCATTGCAACGCCCCGGCCGGTGCCTTCAGGCATCCAGGCAAAGCCAGCACGGAGGCTGCCAGGAAGGGCTTCTCGGCCAGGAGCCTCTCGCCTGCAACCCGGTCTTAGGGCGGTTGGCTCAGAAGTCCCGTAGTTTTTTTCTCAGAAACGGGCCGCTCCCAAGGTCGTGGTTGCTACCTCCTGGGGGAAGGGAAACCGCTGAAGGAGTTGCTTCCTAAATTAAATTTAAATGACATTTTCCCGGTGGGAGAGGTTAGAGACCTTCATCAAACCACCTTCACCTTCAGGTACCTTGCAGACTGGGCAAGACAGCGGGGAACGGGAGACATGGAAGAAAAATATGTCAGAAAAGGGAGAACATCTCTAGCATATAAAAATGTGTGCAGCGCTGCGTGCGTACAGTAAAAACAGCGCCCTTACACGAAAACAACACAATAAATAAAATTCAACGTGGCACAAAATCTGATACAGCAGTAGAATTTAGACTCCAATCATAAATTGGGGTGAGGAAAGTATGGACCACTAAATGGCCCTGCACCTCCCATCATTCTTCTCTTGGCTGTGGTAGCTGAGCTTGATGGGAATTGAAGTCCAACGATCGCTGGATATTCAGAATTCCCATCTGTTGTAAGCTTGAGAGTAACAGGCATACAAAAGATGGAATTTTTAGTCAAATGCTTCCTGATTGTGGTTTAGTTCTGGCATGTGTGATCACTGCGATTGAACCAAGGTGGATGGAAGGCCCTGACTGCCAGTTTAGCTATGGCAGGATCTAAGCAGTTGTTAACAAATTGAAAACTTCCTGCTACTCCCACACAGAGGGGAAGCCAGAAGAGAATGCAAAGATGTTTCTTAAAAGTTAAATTCAGCGCTGTTCCACCTGGAAATTTTTTTTATTAAAGGAAAGCTTTATTCTGCTTTGAATTAGAGGGAGAGACAAGTGGGGGCAAGCAAAGAGATCCTTTGGTAACTATGTTTTTTCCTTTCTACTTCCCCTCTCCCTTTAAAGAAAGGAATGGGCAAAATACGGTTGCTTGAGATGTGGTGCATGGTTATAGGGCAGGATACAAGCATTGCGCCAATGAGCAAAAAACAAGTACAAATAGTTCTGTCACTAATGACACAACTAGATTAAAGCTGAAAGACCATTTAGTAGCTGATATGCACAGAAGTGAAAGAAAAATCAAGTGTTGCACAACACATACAGTTGGAACAGAAACATGAGAAGTATCTATCAAGGTATGCTAGAAACCACCCTTCATGGATTGCTGCCTTGTCGTGGCAAAGGGGCTTGAGTAAATCAGAGAAGCTATGGGCTATGCCGTGCATGGACACCCAAGACAGACAGGTCATAGTGGAGAGTTCTGATGAAATGCAATCCACCTGGAGCAGGAACTGGCAAGCTACTCAAGTACAGTATCTTTGTCAAGAAAACTCCAAGGACAGAAAAAAAAAGGCTAAAACATATGATGCTGGAAGATGAGCCCCTCAGGTTGGAAGGCGTCCAACATAATACTGAGGAAGAGCGGAGGACAAGTACAAGTAGCCCCAGTGCCAATGAAGGGGTTGGGCCAAAGCCAAAAGGATGCTCAGCTGTGGACGTGCCTGGAAGTGAAAGGAACATCTGATGCTGCAAAGAAAAATACTGCATAGGAACATGGAATATAAGATCTATGAACCTTGGTAAGTTGAATGTGTACAAAGAGGAGATGGCAAGAATCAACATTGACATCCTGGGTGTTAGTGAACTAAAATGGACGGTAGTGGGCTAATTCAATTCAGACGATTATCATATCCACTATTGTGGGCAAGAATCCCGTAGAAGAAATGGAGTAGCCTTCATAGTCAACAAAAGAGTGGGAAAAGCTGTATTGGGATACAATCTCAAAAATGATAGAATGATTTCAATACGAATCCAAGGCAGACCTTTTAACATCATAGGCATCCAAGTTTATGCACCAACCACCAATGCTGAAGAGGCTGAAATTGACCAATTCTATGAAGACTTACAACACCTTCTCAAACTGACACCAAAGAAAGATGTTCTTGTCATTATTGGGGAATGAAATGCTAAAGTAGGGAGTCAAAGGAGAAAAGGAACAACAGGTAAGTTTGGCCTTGGAGTTCAAGATGAAGCAGGGCAAAGGCTAAGAAAGTTTTGTCAAGAGAACAAGCTGGTCATCACAGACACTCTTTTCCAACAACACAAGAGGAGACTCTACACATGGACATCAGATGGATTGTGTTCTCTGCTGCTAAAGATGGAGAAGCTCTATACAGTCAGCAAAAACAACACCTGGAGCTGATTGTGGCACTGATCATCAGCTTCTCATAGCAAAACATAAGCTTAAACTGAAAAAAGTAGGAAAAACCCCTGGGCTAGTCAAGTATCATCTAAATCAAATCCCTTACAAATACACAGTGGAAGTGAAGAACAGATTTAAGGAACTCGATTTGGTGGACAGAGTGCCTGAAGAACTATGGATGGAGGCTCATAACAT